TACAAACATGTTGATAAATCTGGTGTTTCTAAACTGACAGTGTTCCCCTTGGGACCACTAGTGTATTTACCTACCTATCTACTCGATATGTGTGGTGTTGTCTCCCTTGACACCGCTAGTTTACCTACCTATCTACTCGATATGTGCTGTGTTGTCTCCCTTGACACCACTAGTTTACCTACCTATCAACTCGATATGTGCTGTGTTGTCTCCCTTGACACCACTAGTTTACCTACCTATCTACTCGATATATGCTGTGTTGTCTCCCTTGACACCGCTAGTTTACCTACCTATCTACTCGATATGTGTGGTGTTGTCTCCCTTGATACAACTAGATTACCTACCTATATACTCGATATGTGTGGTGTTGTCTCCCTTGACACCACTAGTTTACCTACCTTTCTACTCGATATGTGTGGTGTTGTATCCCTTGACACCACTAGTTTACCTACCTTTCTACTCGATATGTATGGTGTTGTCTCCCTTGACACCACTAGTTTACCTACCTATCTATTCGATATGTGTTGTGTTGTCTCCCTTGACACCACTAGTTTACCTACCTATCTACTCGATATGTGTGGTGTTGTCTCCCTTGACACCCTTAGTTTACCTACCTATCTACTCGATATGTGTGGTGTTGTCTCCCTTGACACCACTAGTTTACCTCTACCTATCTACTCGATATGTGTGGTGTTGTCTCCCTTGACACCACTAGTTTACCTACCTATTACACGATATGTATGGTGTTGTCTCCCTTGACATCACTAGTTTACCTACCTATCTACTCGATATGTGTGGTGTTGTCTTCCTTTGACACCGCTAATTTATTTTGTTATCTTGTTTGTGGCAGTGCCTCCCAGTGAGCCTCTAGCTCCAAGTGTGGACATATGTAATATGATCACAACCTTGAATCACTTCGAGTTATTACTTATCTCGACATCGTGAGGGATAGGTTAACTTATCTTACATGGTTGTGACATCACTCATAATACACTTTAACATGGTCAAATATATCAATGTAGCATAGCGAAATGTAGTTCATGAATAATAGCTTCTACACCTAAATTTAGATTGGTTGTTCTTGTTGATATTATTAGTAGAGTGTGGAAATTGAATGTACGATATCATAGTTATGAAAAGATTACAAAAATCAACAATAATTTAATTGGCATATAAATAATTTTATTATTACTCTGGTCGATTTTAGACCACAGCTTCACAAGCACTAAATCTATAACATGGTAAAATGTGAAATGGTCTTCTACGTATAAAACAAAATGTGTTATCAACCATCAATATTAGGTCTACAGTCCATGGTTAGGTCTACAGTCAATAATTAGGTCTACAGTCCAAGGTTAGGTCTACAGTCCACAAGGTCTACAGTCCAAGGTTATGTCTACAGTTCACGACTAGGTCTACAGTTTATGGTTAGGTCTACAGTTCACGGTTCGATCTGCAGTCCACAGTTAGTTCTACAGTTCACTAGGTCTACAGTTCACGGTTAGGCCTGCAGTCCACGACTAGGTCTGTAGTTCACGGCTAGGTCTACAGTCCACGGTTAGGTCTGCAGTCCATGGCTAGGTCTACATTTTACGGTTAGGTCTACAGACAATGGCGAGGTCTACAGTTCACGGTTCGATCTGCAGTCCACAGTTAGTTCTACAGTTCACGACTAGGTCTACAGTTCACGGTTAGGCCTGCAGTCCACGACTAGGTCTGTAGTTCACGGCTAGGTCTACAGTCCACGGTTAGGTCTGCAGTCCATGGCTAGGTCTACATTCTACGGTTAGGTCTACAGACAATGGCGAGGTCTATAGTTCACGGTTAGGCCTGCAGTCCACGACTAGGTCTGTAGTTCACGGCTAGGTCTAAAGTCCACGGCGAGGTCTACAGTTCACGGTTAGGTCTACAGTCCACGACTAGGTCTGCAGTCCACGACTAGGTCTACAGTACACGGCGAGGTCTACAGTTCACGGTTAGGTCTACAGTTCGAGGTCTACAACCCACGACTATGTGTATAGTCCACGATCTACAGTTAACGAATATGTCTACAGTGCATGACTAGGTCTACAGACCACGACTTGGTCTAAAGCCACGGTCTACAGCCACGGTATACAGTCCACGGCTAGGTTTACAGTTCACGGTCTACAGTTAACGAACATGTCTACGGTGCATGACTAGGTCTACAGACCACGACTTGGTCTAAAGCCACGGTCTACAGCCCACGGTCTACAGCCCACGGTATACGATCCACGACTAGGTCTACAGTTCTCGGTGTACAGTCCACGGCTAGGTCTACAGTTCGCGGTCTACACATAAAGAATATGTCTACAGTTCAATTCTAGGTCTACAGTTCACGACTAGTACCTGGTAGGTGGCGCCACTACATTATCTCTAACCAGGTTATATTCAGTTGTCATCGTTCTGTATCCTATCAGAGAAAATCACTTTTTCCAAAAATCGTAACGTCAATTAAAACGTATATAGTTCTCCTTCATTGATTTCATCATAACTCCATTCATAATATATAAAAATACATAAAAAACATTTTTTGGTAAATCTGTTCATGCGACATATCTGTATGTTTGTTACACTCTATATTTGACCCTGTACTATATGGTAAATGTCTGTATTCAAATAAAAACTTTTTTTCTGTCGCTACATGACTTTTATTAATAGAGAAAGTTCTTTGTAACAGAGAATTGCAACCTTTAGTCAAAAAGCATATTGTCTATTACGAGTATTATTTATATGTTTTGACCACGGACTAAACAGCATACAGACACACTGCCCAGATTTTCAGGAAAGGTTTCATTGCGTGTAATATCAATCATTCATTTATAATGCATGTATATATTGCCACGGGTGTTAGTTATATGAAACCAAATTGTTTCACCAACATGTGATGACTGGCTAGATATTAAGAAATCCTGAAGTTGATATTGAAAGGCCGTCAGTAAACATAATCTTGTGATAAAATTATATATTACTAAATTGTAGATACGTTTTCAGTTCGTGTCGATTGTTTTATTCCGTCATGCTTCTCCACCAATGGGAAGAGAAAGCAGTGATTTGACCCACGTGATTAGTTTCCCTGTGAGAACTTTTTGTACGCATGCGCGTTGTGACTTCGACACGCATGGCTGTGTGACAAGTATTAAAGTAGTGCATTGTGTAAACGTCAGTACAGTTAACAGACACGAGGCTTACCCGCCATTGACAGTGTTAAACAAAGTCACCTACACTTGCTGATGTCATCAGGATATGTAGAAACTACTGGGCACCAACAACCTGTTTTAGGACAGAGGACGATATCACGGAATTACAGCACCGCATACATCAGAATGTTTGTTAACAGCGATTTCTTACGCGTGTTAAAAACGAATGAAAATACAGGAATATGTTTTTAGGATAACTACTTGTATAATGTTTATATATCATTGTTAGAGATATAAAGTGAGACTAAAAACACAAGGAAAAATTATGTCTTCCTTCTTGTGGTAAACTTGCTTTAACATCAAAGTCACTTTCTTGCTCAAGGAATTGTCTTCCATATAAGTTTTGATTAACTAATTAAAATCGTTAAAAATATAATGCCATGTATAATTGGGAATTACATTGCACATATCACTATCATAAGAACACAAGTTTAAAATTACGTTTCTCTAACGGCATTAGCAGAAACTGAAGACGGGCTGGCATCAAACCAAGTGTCCTTGTTTATACTATTTAATAATACTTCGAAAATAATACAGAGCTGTAAAGAATGTTACACGTGAACAGTTAAAAATCTACAATATCTGAGACAGAAACTTACACAAACAGTAAACGTATACTTTTTACAAATGATTATCATAGTTATAATGTACCTAACCAGCTTTTACAGAAATCTCCACATATCGTTACCGACAGAACTGGTTCACAGAAACTTGACAAGTAATATGAATATTATAAACTTAACAGCTGGTTTGGATGACTGAAACAGAAAAGAAACTTTGTGGATGTTGTAAATTGGATGTAACGTATTAGTGCATGTCATAAACTGGACGGGTGATGTGGATGTCGTAAACTGAAAAAAAGTGATATGATGTCGTTAAATGGAGAGTTGATACTAATTGCATGTCGTAAAAGTTAACATGTGACGTGAATGTCATGGTTTTTACAAAAATATTGATTTCGAAAACATGGCAGGTAATGTTGATGCCATAAACTGGAAGGTGATACTAACTGGATGTCGTAAATTGGACTAGGCGGATGACATGTAAGTTGAATATAAAGCGTTGTTATCATAAAATGTACACGTGACCTAAGGTGGATTAAACATGAGGAGAAACGAAAGATGTGTCGTCAAATTGGACAGGTTAACTAATAGGTCTTAACATGAGAAATAAAACTGTTTAAGTGTAGAAATAAATGGTATAGTTAAATGAACGATTGAAGTAATGAAGTGCATTAACCTGTATATGAATAATTAATACATAAATTTTAGTTAGCATGATATTTGTATTGTCATATCGCACTGTATGATGAATCCAGCACCTATTGAAAAACAGCACACATGACACATATGTGAGTACAAGTTCAAGGGGATATGTAAACATTACATATATACAGAGGAAACTAAATATTTCTCCATGCACGTGATGGCTTTGTCATATAACTAAGCATGTCTTTGGTGATAGCATCTATAAAATCGATAAAAAAAATTAGCATTAATATAAAAACATCAAATATTCTATAATGATATTCCAACGTACACCAACATTCCCACAGGTCACAACAGATGACCGGTCATCCCAGAGGCTGGTCAGAGGAATTGGACATGATTGAAAAAAAAAATTTCATGCACTATGATCATGATTCAATGGAATGTTATAATTCCGATTTGGATGATACTTGGACCCATACGTGCTTGAAAGTTTTTCGTACTTAATGATTTAATTTATGGCAGCAATAACACGATGCAATAGTTAGCGTATGATATAATTTGTAATCGATCATCACGGTATTTTTTCACTGTCAGAGTCCACGACGTCGATTTCCTCATCCGCCTCGTTGTCGGAATCTTCGTAAATTGTAACACCGGAAGCACTAGTCTGCGCATGAACGTAACTTGAATTCAAACTTCCAACTGATATAGGAGGCATCCCGTCCACAGACGTGTTGTCCGCGTGTTTAGAAGAGAAACTGTCGGGATTGTCAGATTCGTCGTTCATATCGTTGACATTTTCATCGTCTTCTCCATCAACTCCTTTCTTCTGTAACTTTTTGTGTTTCATTCGTCTATTTTGAAACCATGTTTTAACCTGTAACAAATAAAACGTAGGAATCTCTTTAAACTACAAAACTAATTTCGTTTAAGCACCATTGACGTGGAAAGATAGTAGATACATATTGGTTATGTTGTCTCGTCGTGAACACCCTGCAAAACAAGGCATATTTTGAAAAAAGGTGCCGTATTACAATGAAAAATAGATAAAACAGACAGAATCGATGTCTGTAAATGGCACAAGAATGTGCCCGGAAAGATTGAAGATCACTATATGTATCATATATGTATAACTTAATAAAATAATACATTTCTCCCTTTTTATCCCTCCTTCTCTCTCTCCTACCCTCCTCCACAATCTCCAACTTTAACTACATTCGCATGTGATATTCTTGTGACTGAAGAAGTATCTATCTTACAACTGCCACCGCCATTGTTGGAATACACCGACCACAGAGGCACCTTTTGTCTCCTTCACTCTAGCTTAACTTTTAAGACACTGGTCATGTATAAACAACAGTGCAGTATTAATTTTTAAATAGTATCAAAATGCTAGCCTTCTGAATCATGCACACACAAAATCTTCATAGCGGTAAGCACACACTTATCTCTGTATACGCATGGTTTTGAGACAAGCTGCTGAGACAGTAGCTTACCTGAGTTTCAGACAGACTGAGTTGAGAGGCGAGCTCTACTCTCTCCGGAGTCGACAGATAGCGTTGAGATTCGAACCTCTTCTCCAGGCCATTTAGCTGTTGATCACTAAACACCGTGCGCGCCTTCCTCCGTCGGCAGTGAGTGTGTTTCCCAGGGGTATCGTGTTGGAACAAAGGGTTCAGGGGATATCCAGCTGAAAATATTAATTAAAATCGATATAATTTGAAGTATTAGGGCTGCTTAAATTCAAGATTAACGTGAAAGAAATCTGTATTTGATGTGAAGAGCTCTGTTACAGAAATAGGTAGATAGCGAAGGATAACGACCTCCGCCTCGATGTAAATTTAGACCTGAAATTGCGAAAGACGCTTTATTGCAATAATTCGTTAATTCATTAACGAAAAGTGGATTTCGTCAACCCAATATATTATTAATTGTAAGCATACAGTTTTCCAAAGATAATGATATTTTTGATGTGCCGGTATGTTAGCGGAGAGTTACCAACCAGTCTAATGTAATTGACGATTTTTTTTCTGTTTTTTGTTTTTTGTTTTTAATTCAAACTGGCGAGTTTATACAACTCAGAACTCACAATAACGAGTTGTAACAACGACTATCGCGCCCGTTATCACATCATCACAGCCCCAGTGTAAGTATGGCCAGCAAGTCCTGCCGATGCATAGATACCATATCTGAATTACTCACCGAACACTCTAAAACGAGTCCCGTATTACGAAACCTGTGATAATATGTATGTTTAAGACTGAGTTATCTCCGTGTTAAGACACGCGAATAAATCTCGTTGATACGGTAATATCGCGAGAAGATAAGATTCCAATGTGAACCCCACATCCTAACACCATGGTAATGGCGGTGATAACGTCAAACCTCGTTTATCGAGACAACAATGTGTCGAAATATCGACTGGAATGAACGGATAGTATATAAATCATTTAGGCTCCAATTACATTTCTGGGCACGTGAGTTTTAAAGTTAAATGCTCACTGTCTAGTATAAGTGTCATGTACAGCGCGTAATACCTTTCAGAAACCTGTATATTAAAGTTAAAATTTGTCTGCCTAGTATAAGCTTCGTATATACTGTGTTTTCTGTCTGCGGAAGTGTGTCTTATTGGGTATCTATCGGTGTAAAAATTGCATGATTTGATTGTTCGCTGAAATTTAAACAACGCAAGGGAGACAACTTGCCAAAAAGGCCATATATATAGTGTACATATGCTAATATATCTCATTTCACAAGTAGTTCTTTGATCATATATCGTCCTAGAAAATCGATCATGTAACAATTTCTGTTAATGCATGATCAAGGCTTTCACTGAGCTGTTGTTTGGTAACATCCATTCCACTGCGCTGTTGTAGGGTAACATCCATTCCACTGCGCTGTTGTAGGGTAACATCCATTCCACTGCGCTGTTGTAGGGTAACATCCTTTCCACTGAGCTGTTGCAGGGCTTACATCCATTTAAATGAGCTGTTGTAGGGTAACATCCATTCCACTGAGCTGTTGCAGGGCTTACATCCATTTAAATGAGCTGTTGGAGGGTAACATCCATTCCACTGAGCTGTTGTAGGGTAACATCCATTCCATTCAGCTGTTGTAGGGTTTACATCCATTTAAATGAGCTGTTGGAGGGTAATATCTATTCCTCTGAGCAGTTGTAGAGTAACATCCATTCCACTGAGCTGTCGTAGGGTTTACTTCCATTTAAATGAGCTGTTGGAGGGTAACATCCATTCCACTGAGCTGTCGTAGGGTAACATCCATTCCACTGAGTGTTGTAGGGTAACATCCATTCCACTGAGCTGTTGTAGGGTAACATCCATTCCACTGAGCTGTTGGAGGGTAACATCCATTCCACTGAGCTGTTGTAGGGTAACATCCATTCCACTGAGCTGTTGTAGGGTAACATCCATTCTACTCAGCTGTTGTAGGGTAATATCCATTCCACTGAGCTGTTGTAGGGTAACGTCCATTCCACTGAGCTGTCGTAGGGTATTATCCATTCCACTCAGCTGTTGTAGGGTTTACATCCATTTAAATCAGCTGTTGTAGGGTAACATCCATTCCACTGAGCTGTTGTAGGGTAACGTCCATTCCATTGTACAGTATGTTATAATGATACTATTACACAACTTATATTGTACATTGGTAGGTATTAACTTTTAAAATGAAGCAGGATAATTCAGTAGAACTTGTGTCGACTACTTCATCCCCTCGTTAACTGTACGCGATATGTACGTTCTATAACTACACAAGATAGAACAGGAGAGGAAGACATACGATAGAGTACAATATGTAATTTACACCCCACTGTTTGTATTTATCTTTAAAGATCAATGACGGTAAGGGTACTAGCTTGTTCAGGCTTTATCTACTGCCCAATCCCCGTTAAATCAAAAGGAATTAATAATATCTTTGTGAAATGAAATGGTGCTTATAGGTTTACACAAGACTGTATGATCTTGTCATTATCTTCACTGAATGGAAAAACTCTGAAGAAACATGTCATACATTTGTAGGTGTTCTATTGCATGATAAATAAATATTGCAAAAGGTAAATAGAAAATATCTATTTTAATCGTTTGATATTAGAACTAATTTGTTATTTATTCCTGATGTCACTATGTCTAAATGACGTCACTTACTTCTTATAAATTCGATTGTTTATCAATTAAAATCGCCGCAGCTCTAACGATGTATATAATGTATTTTCTTTCTTTTTTATCCTTCTTTTTTATGCTCTTGGAAATTTGTGGTAATCAAATGTATGATAATTTAAATATATATATGTATAGTATGTAACAAAAATAAAATAAAAAAGATGAACAGGTACTTGTTTTATGACAGAGTAAGTAAACATACGATAGAAAAATGAAGAAAGCAAAGATATGAAGTACGTGTAGTCTAACCAGACAGCAATCAGCATTGTTAAATCTTAACACTATACCTAACATTCTAACTTGTCAAATATTTATCCCGTCCCGTTATAGTGTTGTCTTTCTCCGTGTCCTTTCTGATCAATCTTGTAATCACATATAACACACAATTTGCCGTCCCATCCAGGCAAGTGTCTACTGTACTTATCGTTCTGTTAACTAGTCTTGTGATACAAAATAGCGACAAATGTGTAAAACTCAGAAGATAGACAAAAGTGAAATAGAATCAAAATCTATTTGTATCTTAAATATACTGTTTGATGGATTTACGAATAAATCTATTTGATTGTTTCGACAATTCATGATTTCCAAAAAGTGCATGTTGAACTCATTAAGCCTCACGATACAATTTTAAGCGCTGATCAGCGTAATTATCACATAAAAAAGGAAAAACATCTTCAACAGGATGTCCACACTGATGGTATACATGATCAATCAAATTAGCATGAAATAAGTCTTGATCAAGGGTGCTGGACCCGTTTCTTAGCCTGGCTTGAACGATATTATATTTTCTGTCACAAATTAGATAGTAGAAAAGAATCTGTATATCACTAGAGTTACGAAGGAGAATTTGAAAGGCCGAATATCCAGCGGTACACTTTGTCGGATTTCATTGTCTAACTGGTTCTATAGTTCTGAATCGCAACAGTAATTTTGTATAGAATATATTTTGTTATTTCGGAGGTTACAGTGTAAATTTTCTGAAAGTAAAGGTGGACTAAGAGTTGTTAGGTAGTCAGGTGTTTGGTTGTTGCTAATTTTGTTAAAAAATGAAAATAAAAACAAAAACAAAAACAAAAAACAAACAAACAAAACAAAACACTGCATTTCTCTCCTAGATCGACCATGTGGTTGTAACCGCTTTCGGGATATGTAATAACATGGGGGTAACTACGCTTTTAATTTGTTCACTAAAAACTTTAACAGAAATTAAATTCCAGTATTGTGTAGTTATATTACGTATTTTCATTGAAACTGTATTAATGTTTCCATTGAAATGGCACTAAGATGTTACTTTTAAAGTGTTTCAAGTATTAGTTTCACCTGCATTCCTGACACAGGTTGAAAAGTAACCTTTCATTCTCATCCCACTAAAACACAATGTAGTATTAAAGTGTAGGTAATGATTCATCCAAAATATGTTTACTATTACTTTCAAAGCGCGTGTTCAACATTGTTTTGAAAATGTGGAAAACATTCATACAGAACGAATTTAATTGGTGTGTTCAAATTGATTAATGTTATATATATATATATATATATATATCAGAGTTTAAATTTTCATTCTGAATTGGTGAAACGCTGAAATTAAGACACTGTTTTATTTTCTTAAAATTTTTATTTGTTGTTTTCAAAACGTGTTTATTTTTTTCACTATATAAAGTGTTTAAATTTCTTTAAAGATCAGTTAATTATAAAATTAGAAATGTGTTAAATATTACATTTAAAATGTGTTAATGTTTGCCTTTAAAATGTATAAGATATTACATTGAAGTAGCCGTAAATAGTAAGAAATCTCAAGTTGGATGAAAAACCACGATCGCGTAATGATAACAACACGTCTGATCACAAGTAACTTGTGTTAGTGTCGACATGTCAAACGCATTTAGGAAGTCTGGCTGAAAGTTAGACGTCGGATCGGGGGATCATTTCGCCCTAAATCCCTTCCAGCTGATGAAAGGAGCGAATCTTGTAAAAACAGCTAAAGAAGAAACAGTGGATTAACTCCCCTGAAAGCCAGTCCGACTGATGAAAGGGGCGAAAACAGCGTGTAAAACCAGCTAAGAGAATCAATGGATTAAACGCAAGTCACTTCAAATATAATTATTTTGATAACCTGACAAATCATCAACAGAAAATCCATTGATTTTGGGTATTAACGGAAGCTAAACACGTCGCGATGTGATTATTACTGGCAATTATGTCGGGCGAGGTCCACGCCACGTGCATTCTTGTAATTATGTGGTCAATCACAGTTATATGTAAACAGGACTGGGCGGGACCCGGCATGTAGTCTTTACAGCGTCAAAATATTGATAATTTATTAATTATATCAAAGTCAGCTATTGTGTATTCGGCACATTTTACATTCCATTATTTAAGTTTCAATTTTGACAATCTCATTATTCAATTAACGGGGTTATTCGTGACCACGTTATACACACAATGGGACAAGAAAACAACAGAAATTAGCTCTCAATAATATCTGAGCACTGGTTACCATGTCTCTGGAGTAGAGCTTCTGACACGCAAATGTCTAAGGAAATGTTCGGCTTTGTATAGACACAAAATATAAACATCTGACCATTGCAAATTTTACCATTTTTCTTTCTTCACCGGACGGACACAACTCTATGACTTATCAGTATATGCCATTTGGCTTATAAAGAACATTGCTTTAAAAATCTGCCTTTAATCTGATATATTAAAACAGCATTACTTAAAATAAGGCATGATGACAGAAATTGTAAATGCCATGAATTTGTAATATTTCAATTCATGGCCTTTTGCAATTTCTGTCATTATGCCTTATTTTATGTAAATTAGATAACTCAAGAAAACGGATTTATATAAGTTTTTTTTTAAACTTGTTTCCGAATCCTATTCCAATGTACTTTATCTGTATTGTTATGTATGTGAAATGGAATAAAATAAAGTTTATATTAAAACAGCATACACCTACCTATGATACAACATAAACATATTATTCATATGGTGGAGCCAAAGTGTAAAGTACACTGCAGTGAATTAGATATCACTGTTAACTCAATATCAAGCATTTCCAAAAAATTCAAAATTAATGTTAAAAAGTAACAAAACCCGTCATTGATGTTGTGATGATATACCAGAAACAAATCGCGAGCCTTTATGACCGTAAATGATGTTTACTGGTGATTTTAATTATGAAATATTAGTGACTGATATTTCGGATATTAAATATATATATGTATGCACTGAATTACACAACTTTATTACTTTGTTACATTAACACAGAAAAATGTCTTTTTCTGTATTACGAATATGCTGGTAAGGAATGGGGAAGGTTGTTTAAAATAACCAGAACAAGTTCAGCTGACAGCAGCAACAATATTACCTTCCTGTCTTACTGTCGACAACTACTATGAATAATGAAACTTTATTACAATTTGAACTTAATATAATGTAATATAACCCAAATTATTAAAGAAATAATTATAAAATATTATCGGATTTCTGGGAAAATGGTGATTCTAGATTTTGATAATTTTTTTTACCATGTCGTTTATTATTTATGTTTTATCTCAAAATAAAAGGGATGTATATAAGTACGTAGATGATGGGGGATACAAGATGCGTTAGAATATCATCAGAAAATATCTAGAATTCAATGTATTTCCTTGTAATTTTACACGCCATTTGTTTCATCATTAAATTACCTGTATATAGCGCTGTTGAAGAATGCAACGATAATTAAATGCAAGTGAAAATGAAGCGAAAAAAATAAACAGGTACGAGTTAAGATACTTAACTGCCATATCGTAAATATCTGATTCCGAAGTATGATTGTACTGCCATTTTGAAATAATATAACTCCACTATAATTTTATTGCCATTTTGTAACCAATCATTTTTTCTGTACAATTTTATGGTTGATATATAATTTAACTGTTGGCGTATAATTTTACTGATGATGTACACTTTTATGGTTGATGTATAATTTTACTGTTGGTGTATAATTTCGTGGTAACTGCATAACTTTATTGAAATTTTGTAATTTTACTTTATCTGTGTAATTTTATTTTCACTATTTAAAACTGTCAATATATAATTTTGATATTACAGTATGATTTTATCATATAGATTTCTTATTCCTACGAGTGTCCTTATTGATGATGTTGATGTTCACATTAAAACAGTGTCAGTCTTTGTTTAACAAAAGAATAACAATTGTATGTATTGCGTGAAACATTTTCGATAAGAAGATTGACAAAAACAACTAACCTTTCGACACAAATTTAGAATTTACCGTAACATATAAGATTGCCCATGAAATCCCTCCTAGCCCCCAGAGGACTGACCTTTATTCATCTTAAATATTTTATTCTATTTTCTTAATTATCTATTTCCGCGAAATAAAAAGACAAAATTATGTCTTAGAACTATAATAGTGTGAATTAATGTATTGTTGTCCGTTGCCCTCTGTTTCTATACTTTTTCTTTAGCTTCTACATATAATACCAGTGTTTAGAATAAATAAGAATTTAAAACGTAATATTTCATCCCAAAGTCATGTGTTATATGGCCTACCAGTAATGGAATACATGTTAATCTATGTTATAGTATTATAAGTTAGAACAAAGCCTCTCTCCCATTCTACATCCCTCTTTCTATTTCTCTTTCCCTATGCCATACCCTGTTCTTATTTCTCTGTCTCTTTCTTTATTCTTTGTCCACTCATACATTTTACATAAAAATGACTATTATAATAGTTTCATGTCACCACGTGATCATATTTATGTAAATGTTTATGTGTATGTTGTAGGAGAAGTCATTCATAAGTTGGTAAAACTTACTGACTAATCCTATTGTCAATGTCATTGTCAATAAAATATGTTTAAACTAAACTAAAAAAAGAACAAAGCCAGCATTTTAATTAATTTCATTTTTTGAGATTCAAACCATTATGTTATTCAAGTTTTAAAAAATCATCAACAGGCACGATATTTTAATATTTGTTCTAATGTTTTAAGGATAAATATTTTTGTACAAAATATTTTAACTGCCTGGTGTTGTATTAATCATTATCTTTCTCGTATTTTGTATATATACCAGTAAAATACAAAGAGAAAATAATATTGAAAACTGTTTCAAAACCTGTTTCCATATCCGTTTTACTTTCATAACATATTTTTTTTTAAACTTTAATTTTCTAAATGAATAGGATGAAGTTGATATAATTTCATTGATAAATTTAAGTCGCCATCCAAAGTTACATGAAACAGTTCACTTATTTTTCTCGATTTTTCATTTCTAGGACTACGACATGCCTTCCTCTTCTGTTTGGTAATGGCTTGTTTAAAATATATTCTAGATTGTAGAGTAATATTTCAGTTCGTCCTGTACTTTTTATTGCATTTAAAAAGAGCGAAAAACAAGTCACCGTTCCCTACCTTTTTGATGAGGAATTACTTTGATAATCTTCAAAAGATTTAATACATAAAGTTCACTTGTACTTTTAATGAGTATACAAGTTCCTAATATCTTAAACGATACTTTCACAGTATTCTAAAACAAAAAGTATTGTTTTGAGATATTGATGAAAATCATTGTTGTGTTGATAATTTTATTTTCTTAGAATCTGTTTTATAACAGGCTCTTTAAATAGTCTTCCTTATCCTGATAAGGAATGTGCTCCTTAATATTTAGTTTTATATGCACGTCAAAAATCATCAAAAATATTCGTAAAACGATTTTTTTTAATTTTCATTTTTGCATTTAAATATATTTGCGTGCATTTCTTTATATAAATATTTGTATGATGTCACTAAAATATTTGCATTCATAATAGTCAATAGATGAGTTTTACTCTTCTGATAATATACAGGGAGACTGTCTACCTGTAGACACTAATGAAATGATATTTAGAAATGAGCACAATTCAACTGAATGTAGCAATATATTTTAAATTAAATTTTACTTACTTTGCTTTCTTAGACGAGAGATCAGTGTAACCATTCTATATATATAATTACAGATTCACGACCTCTGTGGGGCCAACGCTGTAATTGTAATTTGTTTTAGGAAAAGGCTTAATGTTGTAATAGTTTGTATCCAATCCGGTAGCTGATAATTATACCAATAAACTATGTTTTTTGACATAATACCTTGTGTCGATTGTTAACGCGCATGTCCCTGTTCTCATTAGCGTTAATAGACAAAGAAAGAAGAAAATAAAGTAAATTATAGACTTTCTTTTATATATTCATGTTTTTTTATTATTATTTTTTTTTTTGAAAAAATTAACGTGATATTTCCGATTTTTACAATATGATAAAAGTTTTCCCCTATGATTTTTACTGTATATAAATATGACAGTAACGTATTTGATATGACTATTTCGGTATATCTAAACTTGAAAAACTGCAAAATTACTTACCTGAAGTTGGTACTAGAAACGGATGTTCTGAATGTTTCGGCATGAACCCTTGGGCATGTTGAAAAAACTGGTGCGGGTAGATGACATGAGCGCCGCCTAGGCATGGGTACCCGTATTCTGAGAGGCCCGGGTGTCGCACTAACGCTGAAAGGGAGCTGACGTCACGACACAGCTGTTTTGGCTTGTGAAGTAAAATATCTTCGATGAAAAACGACGTATGCGTGTGACGTGGAGCGGGATGTCCTTCCGAGCTGAACGGTGTCAAATTCATTTTGTCAAGGTTACCGAACGACTAATTTCTGAAATTTTAATATAAAATTCATTAACTAAATACTAGAAAAGTTAACAATGTAGAAAAAAGAACTTAAATGAATTCTAAAACAAAACACACACAAAAAAAAAACGAAAAATAAAAAATGCCTTCAAGAATAAATTGTTTAAAGTTTTTGTATAAATTGAAATCTCCTTCGGTTATTTTTACGTGAATTTTCACCATAATAAATACGAACAAGAACACAAAATAATAATTGTGTAACAAGAAATTCGAATATTTTTTCGTTGATTAATTAGCTTAAGTATTAATTATGAACTTACGTCAATAATATGATTTGATGGTAAATTTTTCAACAACAAATCCCGATTTGTATCTAGAGTTATAACTTGCTATGTCGGCGCGTGCGTACGAGAGAGAGAGTGTGTGAAATGCGCCACAATCAGCAGTGTTACAGCGCCCGACACTGATAAAAATCGGTAAGTACTATCCTCTTCAACAAAATGCACAATTATCCCTCCGCCCGGACTATTTGTCGACGGCGACACGAGCCTGAAACGGCGGAGGAAACCGGAGGTGTAGTTAATCAAATGTTATTAGTAAATGGATGAAATTAATCAGCGCAGGGGACTTGTTAATTCCACTTTAAAACACTCTAATTCATCATTTCCTTCTCCTTCCTGTAGTAATTTGCTATTCCGGCCGTCTTATAGCGCTGATTCGTGATCATTTGAAATTGTCATGAAACCATCTGAGCCCTTATGCCTCTGTGTTGAGTATGAAGCTAATTAGGGACTCCACTTGGAAAGTAAGTCGGCATGTCATTGCGACAGAAGACTCGGAGATGCTGCTTGTCTCGCTAACCGCGTAGGGATGATAAAGAAGTTAAGAAGAATAAAATAAATAGTCCTGATCCGGAATACTGTTCTGTTTTCTCTATAAGATTCTACTTTAATATCATTACGGTGACAGAATAGTTGATGGAATCAGTTGATAACATAGAAAATCTAAACAACAAAACCTAAAGAAATTGTGTGAAGTTAAAATCACAACTTCCATCCTTCAGTATTTCTAGATGTTTTATTGGAATGTTTTTGTGAATACAGACGAAATGCCATATTATATTGTGAAAAACGTTACAGATGTACAAAACTCATAACAACGTCATCAGTCGCAAATATCTTTAAAGTCTGTTTTCCGTAACTGATTTTTTTAAGTGATCACCGAAACTTTTTTTTGTGTTATAATATGGTGTAAATATATTTTATTTCCATCAATATATGTGGTAAAAAATGATAAGTTACTCAGTACAGAAATATCACACACGTATCCCAAACACAAAAAAAAGACCACATAAATAGCAACGGAATTATTTTCAAGATCCTGAGAAACAAAATAAGACAACACGAAAAATATTCAATCAAGAAATGAACAAAAAGAAAAACCGAAGTTAGAATGCGATATGAATAACACACAAGCCACGAAACAACTGAAAACAACAAGAGGAATAGCTAAGAACAGCAGCAGCAGCAGCAAAAGTCAAGAAACAACAGAAATAACAGAAACCATTCAACAACAAGAATAGCTAAACCGAACAAATAAAAAAAAGTAGAAATCAAGAAACAACATTATAAGATAAGTAAAAAAAAACAACAAGAATAGAAGAAACCAAGATACGAAACTAAAAACAAGAAACACAAAAGTTAAGAAAGAAGAAGAATAATAGAAATTTAAAAAAAACAACAAAAAAAAACAAGAATAAAAGAAACCAAGATACGAAACTAAAAACAAGAAACACAAAAGTTAAGAAAGAAGAATAATAATAGAAATTAAAAAAAAAAAACAACAAAAAAAAAACAAGAATAAAAGAAACCGAGATACGAAACTAAAAACAAGAAACCAAAAAGTTAAAAAAAGAAGAAGAATAGAAAAAAGGAAGAGAAATTACCTGAAACTGATTTAAATGTTTGCATTGTTATTTGTCCACGTTAGGGAATTCTTTTTCACTTAAGTGAAAGAAATATGCCCTTTATAGGAACTGGGATTAAGTGTTAAAACGACTTGTTATGTATGTGCAGTTTTTATACTCTGAAAAAGGTAAAAAGTTTTCATAAATAAATCCTTTATAAACCTAATTTTGATAAAGTGGTTCCTACCACTATTTATCACGAGGTTGTAGTGATATTATACACCAACAAAATAGCAGAATATGTATTTATTTATAAATGATAAGTTGTTACCGAAGGATATTATGTGTTTTCATCGCCTCTGCTTTTTAAATGGTTTTTAATGGATTTCCTATCCTAAAATTATTGTGACGCGGAAGTAAAGTCAATGCTGCTTTAACCTTGGATCAATGATTTATCTGTCAACCCATTTAATGTAAAATGTTTCAATACGATGTATAAGATTGGATTAACTTATGTAAAGGAACAACATGTAACTCACGAAACATAACAGCATTTATCTAACTCACGAAACAGAACAGCATTTATCTAACTCTTTAAACAGAACTGCAGTTATCTAACTCACGAAACAGAACTGCAGTTATCTCACTCACGAAACAGAACTGCATTTATCTAACTCACGAAACAGAACTGCAGTTATCTCACTCACGAAACAGAACTGCATTTATCTAATTCACGAAACAGAACTGCAGTTATCTAACTCACGAAACAGAACTGCAGTTATCTCACTCACGAAACAGAACAGCAGTTATCTTCCTCATGGAAAGAAACAAAATTGATCTAATACACGGAAAGGAACAAAATTGACTTTGCCAATATAATAGAACAGGGTTTTATCTAACCGAAATGAATGAACAAGATTTATCTGGATCTGGTGTGACAAAACTAGTTTAACTTGACCAATACAACAGAACATTATTAACGAAACAAATGTTATTTTGAAACAAGCACCCAGATAATGTTTCTATTAACAGACTTGCGATGAAGCATTAAGCAGTTTATCAATTAAAGACTTAAGACTAGAGCACGTTTATTCAAACCCAAAGCTGTGTTTACATACAGAACATGTTAAATCTGATTTTTAAAAAAGGAAATGATAAGCAGTTGTAACTAGTACGAACCCGGACTTGGATATAGTTAAAAGTCCTTGCATGGTACGAATATATATGAAAAAAAATCAACCAAATAACTACATGCGTTTGTGAAGTTATAAGAATTATAGAAATGTTACCCAGCGCAAAAACACTAAAGCTACTTGTATTAAGGTGCTTCCTTATAAACGAACGCCAACTGGATATTTTTGTCCGGTTACCGTTTCAACTTAACCTCAGCAGGGTAGATGCGTGCTTGAATTTGCTAAAGAAAAGTCACAATTGGATTGTGCGTCCTTGATTGAATTGAGGGATATTAGATAAACGCGTTCACCAAAGAAACATTGATTAGGTTGTTTTCCTAACGGTTTTCCGTCATTTGTGAATATGTTTAATTATAGGATGGCGTGCGAGCAGCGCCCCCTAGGGACAGTCTCGCGGCGAGCATTCTGACAAGATAAACTAGTAACTAGCTATGTTAATAGCAAATAAAACGGCTTGATGTGAATATTTTCCCAATTAGGGAAACAAATGAGGACGAAGGGGAAATGCTTGTGTGTCGGATTTATCCAAATCCCAAAGAGACTAATTTTCTTAAATCTTCGTCTGATGTTCCTAGAACCGACCGGATTGTAAAGTAATATTCTCTGAGGGATTCCGAACAGCAATGCAACTTTCCCCGACCTTTCGTAATGAACCGTTAAGTTGCCTTTATCGTCGTCTCGTGCGCAGAATAGAAAAATCAAAACTACTTCTACTAGGCTCCTTACAGTATTGTTGGCATTACTTAATTAGGTACATGTCGTTATATACTCATTTTTGTTGCGATTGCCGAGAAAAATGAGGACATTTTGGGATAATAAACAATGTATTTATCTCCTCTCCCAAAAAGCTGCTTCCGAAAATTCTGCAGCTACAAGAAATCGGGTCAGATATTGTGCTTATTGTGATAATGACTTTCAAATTTTACTCTCAAAAACTCAAAAACTCTCAAATTTTACGTAAGTAGTAAATCCTCTTGTGTGTAAAGAACTTGGCCATAATAACAAACTTATTCCATTACTTTATAAGTATACATATTCAGAACGAGGAAACTGCAAACTCTGTTGTCGATGATCTTTACTGAGGACGGGGGATTTCTTTATCGGGGACTGATTTTCGGAAATATCGCCTCCTTTACACAAACCCCAGACCAAGAAACGACATTTTTTGTTGCCGTGGATAAGCACTATGGGAGAATGTCTTCTGTTTTTGCGATTGGATGTCTGAAATGTCACGGATTTTCAATTTCGTTACAAGAAAATATGACTATCATTTAAGACACCCTTCAATATCCCAATATATCTTCAAACGCTGAATAACTGTTTATTTCCATTATCAAAGACGATAGGTTTTATCGGTCAATCTCTTCATTCTGGGACAAATCATGTCATATACTTATGTACCAACTTCTGCGAATTTATCGTACTATCTATTTAGCTGCTGAAGTAAAGCATTGAGCAAATGAGGTGACAGTATATCGCCTACATAAGCTTGTAACCTTTCTAACAAGTGTCCCAATGACTAACTTGACGATCATTTTGGAAAGTTTTAAGATAACGTGTACATAGATAAGACATGGGGACTGTTCAATGTTTCCGTCGTTAGACTGTCCGTAGTACGTCCGTTTATTGCTATATCGCGGACCCGGAAGTAGTATAATCGTGCCAAAACCACATAAGTAAAATGAGTACCTATTACACCTCTAGGTCCTTTCTTCACTCCAATTTTTCTCGCTTCCTTCCTGCCAAACACGAATAATTCATAAAGTTAGGCTAAGTTTGAAAAAAGATAAATATTACTGTGAAGACATTGTGTCTTTTTTCTGTGCTCCACGTCATTTTGAACAATAATTTGTCCTGCCGGTGATAGGTGCGCTTCGAACTTGCGTGCAAGGGATGAA